TCATTGTTTGTGGATCCAGTTACCAGTGGTTCCAAAGACATTGACGCCTGGTTTCTTATACAGTGGCAACTGGGATCCACTGGAATAGATTTGGCGTTCGACCTATTCTGTGACAGAAAAAAACCGCTGTGAGAAACGACCCCCGACTCTGGAGAAACGACCGGATGACAGGAGTGTTTGGGTATACAGTATAGACAAACAAATGAGTGTCCTTTGATAGAACATTTGCGGACCAAACTCAGAAAACAAATCTGCGGACCATGCTCAGAAACACACCATCCGCCACGGTCTGAGTGCAGCGCACCTCTGAACATGGTTTGTTTGCTGGATGTTGCTGGGTTGAAGCTTCAGCTAGGAGCATCCGTTTTTGCTCGAAGCTCTGACCATGAAATTTCTTTCGGGATCTCCTATGGACACCTTGGATGATCCATCTAATAATCATGAATCACAGCCTCACAGCTTCGGGCTATCCAAGTTGCGGAGCTTCGTCGCAGTGCTGAACATCTCTTTGTGCAAAATCCCAGGACTTCGGAACATCCTGTTAACCCAGGAGTTCCCAAGATGATGCTTAAGGATTAACACCATATAAAGCAACATCATATACAACAAATATAATTAACATAACATAATAACAAAACATGTTTTGTTTGAGGCTTCGTTCGCCAAAACCGTGCATGGTTCGTTCGCCAAAACCCGACGTTGACTGTCACCGTCCGACGTGTCCCGGAGGCGATGCTCGACCAGTCGAAGTTCGTGTTTGCCTCGTGGCGCCCTGGACGATTTCGAAGACGAGCCTTGGCCCGCGCCCACTAAGTGAGTGGGCCCACAAGGCCCACTTCAGAAGCTAGTAGTAGCTCCTGGCATTTTTTGTCTAGGAAAAAGGGTACTACTAGGAACAAGAAGATATTCTCAACTTCTCTAGTCTTCTCTTTTGCGTGCCCTTTCAAATTGAAGCCACTATTGAGCGCTTCAGTGAACAGGCTGCAGGTGGAGCTGGGACCCGTGTTGGGCCCGCATGACCACCATGTTGATGGACAAGTGTTCCAATCCCGGTCAATCGGTCCACTCCAGTCCCCGATGCATGAGCCTTGGTTTGCTTGAGCTTTCTAAGGCATACTTCTATGAGAGACACGTCAAGATCAGCTGCTATCTACATATAATATACACTATAATACTATGATATATAAGTCCAGTTACGTCCAGTTACTATATTATTCTAGATATAGTAACTGGACCTCGGCGGCGAGTGTCATATTTGGTCACAACGGTGGCCGTCGATGTTCACCGAGGACTTCGTGTACCGCGAGGAGGTCTCGAAGCTCAAGGCGCTCCGCGCCGTCCAGCGGCTCAAGGCGCGTGCAGCGCGCGTGCAGTGCGGGTGCCGCACGCGGGTTTCCGTGCGATGTACGGGGGGCGGCCACCGGTGAAGAGATGGCTTGTGCTTGGGAAAGGATGCAACTCCTGGAAAACGACCAGAATTGACCGTGAAGGAGTTCGTACCTTCATATGGCGCATGGCTATGATTTGTCAATGGACAAGACTCCCCCGGTAGAGTGGCTTCATGAGATCCTTTGACCAGTAGAGAATGAAACGCGTTCTAGTTAACCTTGAGGTGAGCCATGTGTCATCATTTGTTTATACTATAGTGGTTGAATAGTCAATACGTTTATTAATCAAATAAAGTCCTTTGTCACTGTCAAACCTTTCATAGCGCATTATTCAACCCCAATTATACTCAACCTTCTGGAAGACATTGGTCCCGACACTTCCTGCACCCAAAGTCGGTGACTTGACTGCCGATGATTGACTGAATGGATGGCCCTTCGTGAGCCGCACATTCCTTCAGGAATCCGAAGAAAGGCATTTCTGCCATTGACTGAGCCAATGAGAGAAGTCGCAGGGATATGTAGAGGGAACTGTAGGGGGACATGTAACCTACCCAGTCAGTGGATAACCTTTAACCTTTTTGGGGGATTGGAGGCACCCCACAGAATATGCTCAGATGGAAAAGGGTTATAAGTGTTTTATTCAAGGGAAACTGAGGGAATCAGTGTAGGGGGACGTGGGATCAAAGTTTCTTTCAGCTCAGACCAGCAGAGGAACTTGACCTCGGACAGAGACCCGGACCTCGTTGGACGCATTGGTCGATGGGGCTATCCATCTCTATCATTTTCACCGCTGGGGTGCCTTGACTTGTTCGGCCAGGTGCAAAGCTCTTCTTGGGACACCGATCTGGTCGGGCGCCGGTCGAACAGGGCGGTCGCCGGTCGTGGCGGGGCGTCAGAGCATTTGGCATGAACACATCACCTGTCGCGAGTCAGCTGTTCCATGTTGTTTTTGTTCATGTGATAATCCATGAATCATTGCCAGCCAGACTCATGGTGGTTTAGCAAGGGTAGCCAGACTACAGGTTTAGCATGTTACATAAGGGGTACATGAGTGACCTCGAGTGCATGAACTTATACAAGACTCTGGTATTTTGACGAGTCTGTTCTTGAACAAGTCCACATGGAACTATAACATGGCTGTTTCAGGCCGGTTAAGGCCCCTTTATCGGATCATTGGATTAGATTGGGCTGTTTCACCGGTCCTGGGTTGATGGAAGAACTGAAACAGACTGAAATCATTCATGATCCATCGACACTTCAAGCAGCGAAGTCTTAAATATCGTTCTCGTCTTGGTCCTGGTGCTCCTAACCTGGGGGATTATTTTGCTCCTCTCCAGGTTCACCAAGAGGATGCAGACTCATTCAGTTGCGGGTTCATTTGGTGTGGTGCTTTGTGATTGTCCTCCGACATGAAATAACATGAATACCAAGAGAGATTAAATAACCCTATAGGACCTTACTGGGGTACATAGGGGATAATCGAACTAAGATTCTTCAACCTCTGGTGGCTGTCAAAAGTCACCACCTGAGATCCATGCAGCTATAGCTGACATGCTGCCGGACCGCCGGAAGCGACCTCCGGCACGCGGCCCACGAGCCAGGCGTGGGTGGGGCAAGTGCTGCCTTGGCTTCTGCTCGTAGTGATAGGCCGGGCTTCTGCATGGCAACAGCACACCATGAGCCAAAGCATATCTAGACGATCCGTTGGAGGTATTGCTGGGAGTAGTTCTTGGGGTAGTCTAGCCGTTGGAAGGTGCTGGTAAAGGCTTGCTGTGAACAACCATTTTCTTTCCTGTTTTGTATGCATCACTTCAATCTACAGCTTGATGTGGCTCTGTGAGTCATTCAGTTGAGGACTTGGAACCCCAGTTGTCACTGCTTCAAATCGTTTGTTCCCAAAAACCCAGGCCCAGTTTTTACCTTTTTACAACAAATAGATATTGATATAAAGAGCAAACTAATGTTACTATCAGTAGCTTAAGTTTTCTTCAAGTTCCATATCTAATTGTAGTGGCTTCCAAACGGTCCTCAAATCTTCAGGCTGGCGGCTGGTAAAAACCGTGTCTCTTTGGCCGAACGAAAACACGTCGGTCTTTTGTCGAGGCTGGGCCCTCTACACCGTGGCCAATCCGACGCCGCCCGCTTGGGATCAACGAGGGGTTACGTGACAAACGCCAAAGACTGAAATTCGGCAACCTCAGGGACAATCTTTGGTAATTATTGTAACAGAACTGTAACAGAGTTCTGAACTGTACCAGAGTTCTGAACGGTTCATGATTGATGTGTATTTGCCCTTTTCCTCTGAGGTTTGGAATGCATGTGTCGTGTTGCATGCAGAATCAGGTACAATCGTAAAGAAAAGGCAGACCTTAACCTCCACTTTTGGGAACCTTAAATCTTAAATGATCGTGAATATTGAAACTAACTATATATCACATATATATATATATATCAGACCAAGAGTTTGCCTCCGTGTCTTTCCACAATCTTGGACAGAATCATGGAGGAGGGCCTCGATGGGTTTCACGAGCCCTCGCCAGGGCCGGAGGGTCATGATGTCGGAGACGAACTCCACACGTGCCAAGCGGGGTAGGTGTATTGGTCGTCCATCTCCACATGCGCGGCGCGAACCACCGCGCAATGCGAAGGTGGAGCCAGGATGAATCATGTGAGACTGGTGGACATGGACAAGAATGCAATAGATTCTGGGAATATATGTTGAGTGCTGCAATAGTTTTTACAGTTATATAATACTGTATAATTCTTGAGAAAGGCCTTTGCTAACCATCATCATCCACTGTTACAATGGGCTATGTCCAAGGAATAGTTTTTTTCGTTATAAGAGCCCGTTTATTTTTGCCGCTTAGCTTGTGTGGTGGATGACACAAGCCTGGGCTTCACTGGCTTCACCAGCGAAAATTCAGAATGACAGAGTGCTGCGAGTGTGCTTTGGCTACTTCCCGCGCAGCCACAGTCTTTGCATGTTTGAAGACCATATTGACAGGCTGGAATTGGCATAGATCATACTACAACTCATAGCAGGATATCTTCCAGTTTCGACTCAGGTGAGGCAAGACAAAATCTATCTTGACTCAGTTACTACTGTGTTTCCCACTTCATCACCTCTATCACCTCTATCTCCGTCCTTGCTCCTTGGTCATTCAGGAACGACGCGGTCCCCACCGGGCGAATGCCGCGAGCTCGGACCCAGACTGGTCCGACCTGCTCAGAGACGCCGGGTTGAACCCAAGAACATCACGATGCCGTGAGGTGGATGGAACGGCCTGCAAGCCCTGCAAGCATCATCCTTCATCCACTGGGCCCTGGGAGATGAGATGCCCAACAGATAACCCCTGAAATGAGCACCGTTAGACGTTCCCTTTACATCAAGTTGACCATATAGAACCCATCCAGATGACCGTTTGACCGGTATCCATTGGTCCATCCGTCACGCAACACACGCGACGAGCGTGTCCCATTGGTGTGTTTTCAGCGTGTCGACGCACGGTTACGACGGATTTCCATCCCTCACCTTCTTCAGACGGATTTGCCGGACAAGATGTGAAAACACAAATAACATCAAGTTTAACATATATGGTGTTGTAGTTGTGGTGCTCCACCAGATGGGTTTGATGATTGTTTGTTTTTTTGAAATTGTATACCTTAGCTGTTCATCTCCATCATCGTGATTTTGGTCACATGCACTGTAGTTTGGCATGAATGACTTGCGTATATTATAAGGACATTCAACATGCTGGGACTTGGGACTGACTTCGCTGCCAGACATGGGATTTCTTGATGCAACCCATACAGCTCATCCTTTCAACGCCCAACACCCGTTACGCACCACGCTCCGCTACGCACCACGCTCCGCTTGGCTCCGGCCCTTTGCCCTCATTCTGGGCTCGGTGACTGGGGAGGTTTTTATATTGACGCCATGGCAGCCATGGACGCCACGCATGACCTCCTGCCCTACGGCCTGCTTCCGGGCAGCATCAGCACGCCCAAGGCTGTCACAGCTGAAGGTGTTGAGCCCCTGGAACCGCGGCCGAAAGGCGTTCGAAGGAGGATGGCGCGGTTGAAACGAAGGAGGAACTTGGAGGCCAGGGCCCTGGGCCCTTGCGGGTTGTGGCGGTGGATGTGGAGCCAGGGGTGCCGACACCACGAGTGCTGGAAAAAGGACCACGATACGTGTGGTTTTATAGGCACTCGAATGCACTCGACTTGGGGTGTTCACTGCGATAGCACATCTGATGGCACTTCTCTCGTGGCGTTGTCCCAAGTTCAAAGAGCTTTAAGAGATGGGAGTCTTTGAGTATCATTTTCCTGGCAGTAGAAGGACATGCATGCATATATATATATATACATAATATACACCGCTGTCATCACGTGACGGATGCTATACCATTAAATCCCACCATGCAAGGAATCTTTCGTTGCCACCAACCAACCAGCGCGCATGGACTTGGATATCTCAGTGTTTACAGGCAACATGTTACGGCCCATTCCGATCTGGGAATTGGATGACAGACTGATGCCCAGATGGGCCACTTTCTTTGGGGGTGCATACGTCAAATCAAGCAGATCAGCAGGACTGTGAGCTAAACCCCTCCTTTCTTTCCCAACTGTTTCAAACAATCAGATGTATACCGTATGTCATTCTTGTTCTTCATTTCAAACATCCATGAAGGGTTGTCTGCCAGCTAAGCGTCCGTGGACCGTGCTAAAAGCGACCTCCAGACCGAACGGACAACGTGCAGCTCGGGAAACTGAGGTCTTCCTTCGAGAACACGGCTTCAAAGATGTGTTGGAGCCACAACAGGCGCCTCGATTGGGCTCGATTCGTCGTGGTCGTGTGGTCTGGTGTGCACCGCTGTGTTTGTGTGCGTTTGTTTTAAGACGGGTTTCTGGTTGGGGGCGGAAGGCATGATTGAAGCGATCTAAAGGCAATCCATTTCAGCGCACCAGAAGAAGTAAAAAGGCCTGGTAGGCCAACCGAGAGAAAGGGGGTCCTTAGAAACTTGTGAGAATCACTATATATATACAGTATATATATATATAGAGAGGAGCTGAGAAAGTAGGTAACGAAAACAGGTGCCATGATTTGGTCAACTTTTGTGAGGCTTTGAAGGATGGATGACAGAAGAAGATTGTGACCACCATGCCACCAAGCCCATGGGGAGACAGACAACAGTCAGCGGTGAATAAGTTGCAATTATTTGCAAATACGTCCCACGTGATAAAACATCTATGAGACCAAGAAAGCATTCTCGTGGCATTTGAGACCCATATTTTCCTTTTTTGGCTTGTTACATGAGGGTGGTTGAAAAGGGGTCCATGTAGGCATATCTCTCTCTCTATATATATATATACATATATATATATATAATGCTGTTACATGCCAGTCCCATAGATGGTTTGGGCCATGACCTCCACTCGTCTGACTCCGAGGTACGCGGCTGCCTGTTCAGACCGGAAGTTTTTTATCCCATCCATGAGGCGCGAGAGCTCCACGATGTCCGCGCTGTTTGGGTGAACGCATGGCTGAACGCATGGCGCCTTCCTTTGGTGGGGGGTGCTGTGGTTTGGGGAAAAGAGTCAAGACAGAACATCACCGATCACCTAAAGCATCCTAAAGCCAGAAGAGTAATATATCATATAATATGATATATATATATATAAACTCTTATGGTTTTGGGATATAAGAACCATTTAAACCCTTGGAATTCTGTGCTCAAAGATGCTAACATATCACATTCAAAGGAGTCTTGGAGTCTGACCCATTTGTGCTACCAAGCAAAGACGGCGGACACATGAGCAAACGTTGGTTTTGGATGGTTTTGACATATCTTGGCTAATGACTCTTGTTTCTTTACTGAGGAAAGAGACCGGGAAAGGCCTCCAACTCCAAAGCATGAAGCGCAAAAGACGACATGCTTTGCCGAAACACCTAATGTTTGTGTGCAGCAAAAACACCAAACACATACGACAGGCAAAAGAGTGGGTGCTTGCTGGAAGGCAGAATCTTTTGGGGTTGAATCACGAATTTGGGTGTGGAAAAAGTGCAGCCGTATGGTAACTCTTGAAATCAAAGCGCCAAAGGATAGAAGTATAGCAGCGTCAGCTCGGCCCAAGTCTTTTCAACGCCACTTCTACCGGCACGATGTTTACACCTCCATCCAGTCGACCACACTGCAGTTTGCGCAGGCAGCGCGCCAGGGCGAGGCAGACTTGGTGCGGCAGATGCTGCGACTGGGGGCAGATCCCCAGCAGAAATCGTCGAAGGGCAGGACGCCGAAGGAACTGGTTTCTTGGCTTTTGTGGCGATGGACGCAGACACCGACGGACGCAGCAGGCGACGGACGCGAGAGCAGCGAAGTCGACAGCGAAGTCGAGATTCCGGCCTGCGAGACCAGCGACTGGTGGGTGAAGATAGGAAGAATGAAACTCAAGGTGACACTGGCGTGTGAAGATTGAAATTAAATTGGACAGTTGCATCAATTTACTACTTATTGATTTATTTAATTCATAGGTGGATGGAGTGGACGCGAAGATGTTTCCGACACGAATTGGTCAATGAATAGAAATTGGATGGAGGTCAGTTCCTCCCCGGACGCTCATTGATGGATCCTCTTGGACGGGGTTTGGGTCTATCGCTTGGGGGTCGGGACTGGTCTTTGGAGTCTTTGGGTCATTGTAACTGTCCAGGCCGATGTAGCTCGTAGCAAACCAGACGGTTGGACGAGCCTCGTCCATGTCGTCGCCCCGGACGACGGACTGTCGGTCCGTCGCTGTCGCGCAAAAAGACCGGTCGATGGGAAGCCGTGACTGTCCGGGTGGGACGACACCCCGAAAAACCTGGGCTATGAATAATAGGCATCCCTAGCTATGAAGAGGGTTTTAGTGGTGGTTGTGTTCGACTTCCGAGTTGCTCGTGATGGGTGTTTTGGCTCGGATTTGCCCCCCGCCTGGAGAAGAACGTCGATTGGGTAGATCAAAGAACCAAATGCAAGGTAGTAGGTAAACACACCTCATCATTCAAACCAGCAAATTGATTGAACCATTGAATCAAGTCCAGTAATGGCAATGTTCGACTCATTCCATGCTCAAGATTGCGCCAGCTTACCTACTGTACCTATAAGCCATTAAAATTCAAAACAAAAGTGAAACAGGCATGAACTACCAGGACCCCTCCAGGACCCGGGTGTCTATGTAAATAGCCCCCAAAAGCTGTGAGCCAAGGGCTGTGAACCATCCACCATCCCGAGCTCACCCAGTCCTGGCAGCTCACCCAGCTCGTTGTCGCGGAGACGGAGCCTTCGTCGTGTCCCAGGCGCTCAGTGCCAACCAGGAAGACTCCCATGCAATGGTGACCGAGCTGAAGTGAACCGTCGTCGCCGTGGTCAAGTTGATTCACATGTCATTGTCATGCTATGATTCACGTAGGACGTTTGATAAATTCATATAAACACATATAAATAATACGGAGAGACTGTTCAATTCAATTGGGGATCATTGGGGGATCATGTCATACTCAAGAGTCTACATGTTCAAACTCGATTGTCTTCTTACCAAATCCTTTGACCACTCGTCCGACTGCTTCGGTCCTTCTCCGTCCGACGACATGGTGGCGGAAATGAAGACTTCCAAGTGGACCTGTGATGACCTGGGCCCAGTTGGGTGCTAGTCTAGGTGAATGATGGAGCTGTGCGCGCCACTCGCAAAGTGGATTGAAAGTGTTTGTGGGAACATACACACAAAGTTGGGGTTGGATGTCTTCCCATGTTTGCTCATATGAACTGCAGGAAACATGTCCATTTCAACAATGTGGCATGCATGAAATGAAGTAGGATGGTGCTTTCTTGCTTTGGCTTCAAGGATTCCAGATGGAATATTGTATTATTTTATATATATTTGGAGTTTCCTTTGGGCGAACCGGAGGTTGTGGGATAGTACTTAGCATCGGCCTTTCTCATTTCTCAACCAAACGCAGCGGGTGACAAGTTTTTTGTGAAACTCAATTTCTTTCGAGTGTTGCAAAGTACTCTACCCAAGTCCCTGGAAGAAGGGAAATAGACCGGAACCCATTAGTTGGGGTCCGGTATACCGTACCTATTTAAAAACGGTGAGTGGATCAGTTTATCATCATCCCATGAGTTACTAAGATCGACATTCTCTCGGCGCAGCGTCTCCCGTGTCGAACCTCAGGTTTTGATGCTGTTAGATGGGGTGCAAGTGCTTCACTTGACGCCTGGCCGTGATGTTAGGAACATCAAATAACATCCGTGCGATCCGCCAGAAGAGTGGATTTTAGACCCAGCGAGCCCCAGAGGAGTCGACCTAGTCGGCGATTTGGAATCACCACCGGAGGAGTCGAGCGGCCCGGGGAGGATGAGGGGGCCCGGGGGGCTGTGGTTGGGAGCAAAAAACATGTTCCACCCAAGGGAGATGGGGAGTCCATGCTTTGGTTTGTTTCACTCTCACAGACATGACCTTCCATGTGTCAGCATCGATTTCGACAGAGGTTGGGCAGCTTGGGCTTCCTGGGGTGTTGTGTTCTTGTTCTGTCAGTTGCTTTTTGATAGTGGGGTTGTAACAACATATCAAAACAAATTGCTCTTATTTTGTGGACGTGCATATTTCATGTCTCCCAAAGGTTCATCCTTTTTCGCTGCCCTTGCTGCGACCACGAGCTCGACCCGACCGTACACGGCACCACCAGGTCGTGTGGAGCTTTTCTTCTAAGAGGTCCAAGTCCACTGACTTAACTCAAAGATCACTCTATATGGTAACATCTAGGAATCTAGTAACATCTAGTAACATCTAGTAACTAGAGTCTAGTTGTTGATCGTTTTTGACCTGCTTCGTCGAGACGATTCTTCGTCTCCACTGCACGTCTCAGCTGGAGACATGTTTTACGGGCCATGTTTGTATTACCCCGGGCTCCAACTACCTCCTGAGAAGGTGCTTAGGGTAAGTTTGGGGGGTTGAACCACCGGATATGGGCCAGGATCCCTAGGGTACATCCATGACAACCAGGAGATCCAAACCCGGTCTGACAGACTGACCTCGACCGGCCGTAGTCACCGAGGCGCGACGCCATAGAGATCATGAATCAAGCACGTGAGCTGACCTGAGAAATCGGACCGGTCGGGCCCACCGGTCGGCCCACCGGTCGACCTGGCAGTGGTTCACTGCCGGCAAAAACTGAGAAAAGAGCACCAAACTGAGTTTGGATCAGCATAAACATATACATATACCAACACTTAAATAAATAAATACATACATATTACATATAAAATATATATATGTGTATACTGTACACATACAGTATAATTTACACTATACTATATTCACAGTTGTTGTGGAGATCCCCGTTGGAGAGACATCCGCATTCAAAAGGCCCATACTTGTCACGCTTTAGAGGATGTTAAGGTGCTTTTGTTCAACCAGCACTTCCCCAAGTGTTTTGGGGCCCATTTTGGGGTAACACGGGATCATCCTCAATCACACTGATGACATTTTGGTCCAATCTTAGTACACTTCCAGTTTGGTGGCTGTTTCTCAGCCTGAAAGGCTCTGGAGTTGCCCCAAGTGCTTTGGCATCAGAAAGGCCAGTCCTGGACTCCTGGACATCGACATGTCACAGATGATGCGACAGGCCCATCGGTGGAACTCGGTGCTCTTGAAGCGTCCAATGGGTCGGGTCTTGGCAGGCCGTCGCACGGACGGGCACTGCAGGGACGTATACCCGCTAAGCGCAGGGGAAACTTGTACAGCTATCTAAGATTGAGCTCAGAGGCGTTCTTGATGCCAGACGCATGACCCATGAGAGATGTACTGAGAATGCACTGAGAATCACTTTCTGAAAAACGCTGCAGAACAAGATCATCGCAGATGTTTCTGCATTCCACGCTTGTAGGCTGGGGCATGCTGATGGTTGCATTTGGCCATATTTGACCAATGGAATCCTTTAATTGGTGGGCAAATACTTGATCATTTAATTGCCTGGCAGCTTTTGTTTCTGCCATAATCGGCCTGAGCCGTGTCTTCGTAGTGTTTGTAATTCTGCAAGATTCAGCCTGGAAGTGCACGGGGCCACATTGGCCAGCTACATATAGAGTCCCACGACTACTATCACCCAGTGATAAGATCCTTTCTAAAATGTGCCCACCACCACCACCACCACCACCACCACCACCACCAGGACTACTACCACCACCACCACCACCACTACCACCAGGACTACTACCACTACCACTACCACTACCACTACCACTACCACTACCACTACCACTACCACTACCACTACCACTACCACTACCACTACCACTACCACTACCACTAC